CAAAGAAAGCCCACAGTCAGCAGAAGGAGAGCAATCACAAAAAATCAAAGCAGAAATAAATGCTATTGAAATGAAAAAAGGCAGTAGAAAGGATCAATGAAACAAAGAGCTGGTTCTTTGAGAAGATAAACAAAATTTGCAGAACCCTAGCCAGACTTAGAAAGAAAAAAAGAGAGAAAGCTCAGAGAAATAAAATTAGAAACAAAAGAGAAATAATGGATACCACAGAAATACTACAGATTATAAGAGAATACTATGAAAAACTATAAGAGAATGCTATGAAAAACTATATGCCAACAAAATGGATAACCTAGAGGAAATGGATAAATTCTTAGACTCTTACAACCTCCCAAAGCTGAATCAAGAAGAAATAGATAATCTGAACAGACCAATCACAAGGAAAGAGATTGAAACAGCAATCAAAAGCATCCCAAAGAACAAAAGCCCAGGACCAGACGGCTTCCCTGGGGAATTCTACCAAACTTTCAGAGAGGATTTTTTTTTTATTTTAAGATTTTATTTTTTCCTTTTTCTCCCCAAAGCACCCCGGTACATAGTTGTATATTCTTCGTTGTGGGTCCTTCTAGTTGTGGCATGTGGGACGCTGCCTCAGCGTGGTTTGATGAGCAGTGCCATGTCTGCGCCCAGGATTCGAACCAATGAAACACTGGGCCGCCTGCAGTGGAGCGCGTGAACTTAACCACTCAGCCACAGGGCCAGCCCCCAGAGAGGATTTAATACCTATCCTTCTCAAGCTATTCCAAAAACTGAGGGAGGATGGAACACTTCCTAACACATTCTACGAGGCCGACATCACTCTGATACCAAAGCCTGACAAGGACAGCACAAAAAAGGAGAACTACAGGCCAATATCGCTGATGAACACAGATGCAAAAATCCTCAACAAAATATTGGCAACCTGAATACAGCAATTCATCAAAAGGATCATACACCATGATCAAGTGGGATTCATACCAGGGACACAGGGACGGCTCAACATCCGCAAATCAATCAATGTGATACACCACATCAACAAACTGAGGAATAAAAACCACATGATCATCTCAATAGATGCAGAGAAAGCATTTGACAAGATCCAACAGCCATTTATGATAAAAACTCTGAACAAAATGGGGATAGAAGGGAACTACCTCAACATAATAAAGGCCATATATGACAAACCCATAGCCAACATCATACTCCATGGGCAACAACTGAGCGCCATCCCTCTGAGAACAGGAAGAAGACAAGGATGCCCTCTATCACCACTGTTATTCAACATAGTCCTGGAGGTTTTGGACAGAGTGATTAGGCAAGGGAAAGGAATAAAAGGAATCCAAATAGGGAGGGAAGAAGTGAAACTCTCGCTGTTTGCAGACGACATGATCTTATACAGAGAAAACCCCCAAAAATCCACTGGAAAACTAACATAAATAATTAACAACTACAGTAAAATTGCAGGGCACAAAATCAACTTATGAAAATCAGTTGCATTTCTGTACTCTAATTACGAACTTACGGGAAGAGAACTCAAGAATACAGTTCTATTGACAATCGCAAAAAAAAGAATAAAGTACCTAAGAATAAATTGAACTAAGGCGGTGAAAGACTTATACCATGAAAACTATACGACATTATTTAAAGAAATAGATAATGACATAAAGAGATGGAAAGACATTCCACGCACATGGTTTGGAAGAACAAACATAGTTAAAATGTCCATACTACCCAAAGCAATCTACAGATTCAATGCAATCCCAATCAGAATCCCAAGGCCATTCTTCATGGAAATAGAACGAAGAACCCTAAAATTCATAGACGGCAACCAAAGACCCTGAATTGCTAAGGCAATCCTGAGAAAAAAGAACAAAGCTGGAGGGATCACAATCCCTGACTTCAAAATGTACTACAAAGCCATAGTGACCAAAACAGCATGGTACTGGTACAAAAACAGGCACACAGATCAATGGAACAGAACTGAAAGCCTAGAAATAAAACTGCACATCTACAGACAGCTAATCTTCAACAAAGGTGCCAAGAACATACAATGGAGAAAAGATGGTCTCTTCAATAAATGTGTTGGGAAAACTGGACAGCCACGTGCAAAAGAATGAAAGTAGACCATTATCTCACGCCATACACACAAAAATAAACTCAAAATGGATCAAAGACTTGAAGATAAATCCTGAAACCATAAAACTCCTGGAAGATAATATAGGCAGTACACTCTTTGACATCGAACTTAAAAGGATCTTTTCGAATGCCATGTCTTCTCAGACAAGGGAAACAAAAGAAAAAATAAACAAGTGGGGAGTTCATCAGACTAAAGAGCTTCTGTAAGGCAAAAGAAACTAGAATCAAAATAAAGAGACAACCCACCAATTGGGAGAAAATATTTGCAAATCATATATCTGACAAGGGGTTAATCTCCATAATATATAAGGAACTCACACAACTCAGCAACAAAAAAACAAACAGCTTGATCAAACAATGAGCAGAGGATATTAACAGACATTTTTCCAAAGAAGATATACACATGGCCAATAGGCGCATGAAAAGATGTTCAACATCACTAATCATCAGGGAAATGCAAATCAAAACTATACTAAGATACCGCCTTACGCCTGTTAAAATGGCTATAATCACTAAGACTAAAAATAACAAATGTTGGAGAGGGTGTGGAGAGAAGGGAACCCTCATACACTGCTGGTGGGAATGCAAACTGGTGCAGCCACTATGGAAAACAGCATGGAGATTCCTCAAAAAACTAAAAATAGAACTACCATACGACCCAGCCATCCCACTGCTGGGTATCTACCCAAACAACTTGAAATCAACAGTCCAAACATGGAGGCGCCATAGCTTGGTGCTCACAAAGAGAGCTCTAGGGTTGAAACCCACCTGCTTATTACTAAGTCTGGGACCCTGGGCAAGTCATTTAACTTCCAGCCCCTATCTGTAAACCAGGGCTCATAAATGATGCCCATCTCTTAGGATCGTTGTGAATACTAAATTATGACATGTGAAAGACATTTTTTGTGGAACTCAAGTCCTTTATATGTCATAATTTATTTAGGTTAACAGGATTCCGCAAAAAATTAAACACAGAATTACTGCATGATCAGCTATTCCACTTCCGGGTAGACACCCAGAAGGATTGAAAGCAGGGACTCAGATATTCGCACAGCCGTGTTCATAGCAGCATCATTCACAAGGGCCAACAGCTGGAAGCAACCCAAGTGCCCATCAATGGATGATAGATCAACACAATGTGGTCCATCCATACAAAAGACTATTATTCAGCCTTAAAGAGGAAGGAAATTCTGACACTTGCTATGACATAGAGGAACCTTGAGGACATGATGCTTGGTGAAATAAGCCAGACACAGAAGCACAGATCCTATGTGACTCCACTTATGTGAGGTCCCTGGAGGAGTCACATCCCTAGAGACAGGAAGTAGGATGGTGGGGCCAGGGGCTGGGGGAAGGGGATGGGGAGTCAGTGTTTCACGGGGACAGAATTTCAGTTTGGGAAGATGAGAAAGTTCTGGAGACGGAGGGTGGGGCTTGCATGACAATGTGAATGTACTTAGTAACACTGAAGTGTACGCTTAAAAATGCTTAAGATGGTCAATTCTGTTACGTGTATTTTACCAAAATATTTTTTTAAAAAGACTTCAGAGCAGTGCCTGGCACGGAATGAGCATGCTGTGTTTGTTCAATCACTGAAATTACAGTCACTGAAATAGCATCACTGGACCGCGACCCCCAAGGGCACAGGGTCACCTCAGTCTCGTCCCCTGGTCTGCGACCCAGACCTGGCCAATTGCAGAGGCTCCAGAAAGATTTGATCTCTTGGCTGCTTAAAACCCTTCGGGCGCCCCGTGCCTTCACCTGGTCCTCTTGAAGCCTCTGTCCATGCTCCGCCCTCTCCATGTCCCGCCCACCCCCAAACCCAGGGCAGTCAGCACCTCTGGGTCTGTGTCAACAGCCCGGGGTGGCGGGTGGTCCTGGAGCAGGCAGGGCACCACCTGCCTGCTAGGTGCGCCAGACGCCCACTCTCCCATTGCTGGCCTTGCCTGGGATGCTCCCTCGGCCTGGAACACGCTCTAGCTCACTGAACTCCAACGCCCCTGCCTGAGCAGCCCCCTGCGGCTCAGAGCTCTTCTAGAATGGTGTGGCAGGGTTTGCCCATCCCTCCAGGACATGTGGCCAGAACCCAGAATCGGGAGGGTTTCTGGGGGCTCTCCTAGGTCTCGGGGCACAAGAGGAGCTTCTGGAACAGCCACGGCACTCAGGCAAGGGGGGACACACAAGGAAGGGGTCATGTGGTCAGCTCAGGGACGGAGGTTGCGCCCACACAGGCCTGGGCTGGGGGCTGGCCACACCTCCTCCAGAGCAGGAACCAGCCCTCAGGCCAGCCCTGCCCACGTGGACAAGGGGAGAAGCCGGATCCTGTGAGAGGCAGAGGGGCACCCAGGCTACCCTCCTCCCCTCTGTTACCAGCATCCCTCCACTGGGCCCTCCTCAGAGGTCCATCTGGGATGCAGACAGCTGGGGTGGGGTCAGCAGACCAACAACCCCCAGACAAGCCCCTCTTGCCAGGCCCCAGGTGAGGAGGCGGCCAGATACGCAGATGGAAACCATGAGCGGCCCAACCCCCAGGGCTGGGAATGGGGAGCAGCTGGCACAGCCAACCCCCTCCCCGGGCGTATCCTCAAGTCCTAGAGCTGGTGGTCCTCGGGCTGGGGCGTTTAATGTCTCCCCACGCCCAGACTTCCCTCCCTCCCTGCCACAGAGGCAGCTTGGAGAGGGTCCACCCCTCCCTCAGCCCCGGGGTCCCCCCGTGGTCAGCTCAGGGAGCCTCTGCACTGTCCTGGTCTCCCAGCTCCCCCGGGGGCGGCGCCAGGGCGGTGCAGCCCACAGCAGGGGATGCGCGGTGAGGGGCCTTGGCTCCGGGGTGGCCAGAGAAAGAAGAAAGCAGACAGAGGCGCGCCAGGTTTCTGTACAGGAAGTCGGATTGTACATTTTAGTAACGGGTGAGAGAACCGAGGCATCGGGGCAACAGTGCGGGGGCCACGGGGCGAATAAGAGATCGAGAGCTAGGGCTTGGCGTAAGTCTTACAAAGTGTATAAAGAATCTGTGTTTCTCTACAATAACAAAACCCAAAGGCTACAGGAGCGGTTGTATATACAAAACATGGAAATATTGCTTCACTTGCAAACGGGGTCCTGACCAGACGGGAGACGAGACAGAGACGGGTGCGGGGAGGCGGGGAGAGCGCGGCGTGCAGAAAGGAGGGGAGACGGGGCCGGGCTCCCAGCGCACGTCTGCAGGCGGGTGCTGGAGTGGCACGCACAGGAGAGGTCGGAGGCGCGTGCGGTGCTGGCTGCGCGGGGCATCGGGACCGCCAGCTAAGAGCGTCCACCTGCCCCGGCCCCCTGCTGCATTGCTCTTCGTCCCCGGAGAGGGGTCTGGGTGGGGACCGGGAGCCAGCTAGGCCAACTGGCCAGAGAGGGAAGGAAGCAATCGCTTCCTGGAGTCTGCCGTGGAAAACTGGAGAAGCCCGCTCGCCGTGCCCATCCTCCTGGCCTCTGGCCGGGCCGTCCATCCTGCCACCCTCCCTGGCCTGTCGGGCCCCAAGAAGAGCGGGTGCAGCAGCTGGGGCTTCTAGCTCTCCTCGGGCAGGACAGGAGCTGCCGCTGGACTCCTGTTCTTGCCTGGCCGTGTGGAGCTCCATGGCAGGGCGGGAGCCAGGCACAGAGTGACAGAGGGGGTGGGGCAGGGGGCACAGCGTGGTGAGGGGGACGCAGGACGAGGACGTGCACGCACGCTCGGATGAGGGGCCGGTCACAGGTTCTGACAGCACTGCAGCTTGCTGGGTTTCTGGCCGTCGGTGGTGGGCGGCACACTGATGTCCACGACGTTGTTGCCAGGGGACTCATCATGGGCTGCGCGGTCCGCGATCTGCTTCTGTGACACGATGCGATAGATCTCTGCAATGGGGGCACGTGGGGTGAGTGCCCCCCTGCAGGACTCCTCTGGAGGTCACCTCCTCCAGGGAGTCCACAGCCTTGCGGAAGGCCCCCCCTGTGCCTTGCACCCCCATCGCATCAGGCGCACAACGGCACAGGCTGGGCTCCTGCAGGCTCCCACCCGCTCATCCACTGTACCCCCACCCTTCGCCGAGGCCTCTTCAGAAGAAACTCCCAGAAGCCCACGGGGGCTGGAACCGAGGCCACTGCCCCCGCAGCTGTCCGAGCTGGCTGTTCTCTGGTGGAGCCAGGACGGGGCCCACCCATGGGAGCTGGGTCGAGGGGTCCCTGTGTTCCAAGTGCCAGCAGGGGCGGGATCTGGCCTGACCCCATGGAGCACGCCACGTCCCTCCTTGTGTGTGGACTGATAGGCAGGTTTAAGGAACGGGGTTTCCAGGGCTGTGTCCTGGAGTGCGTGACCAGTGTGGCTGGTGCCCTCCCCACCCCGCCCTCGGCCAGGCCCTGTGACGACCTGTGAGGATGTTCTTGAAAGCTTCCTCGACGTTGGTGGAATCCAGGGCTGAGGTCTCAATGAAGGACAAGTTGTTCTTTTCTGGAAGAAAGAGCATGTTGCGGTGAGCAGGCGGGGGCATGTGTGTGGCCCCCTGCTCCCTCTCAGGGACCCCGCCTGCCTAGCCTAGGAAATGAAGGATGGCAGGGGCCTCGGGGCAAGGCTGCCTGCCTTCCAGATGCTTCTCTGATACCTTGGTCATAGTCAGCTCAAGAGGTGGTCCCTGCAGAAGGCCCGGGGCCAGGTCAGATGGCCAGGGGTGAAACCCTGGCAGCCCTCTGGCCAGGCCCTCTTGGGCCCAGCACGTCCTCACCTGCGAAGGCCCGGGCCTCGTCTGTGGGCACGGCCCGCAGGTGGCGCAGGTCGCTCTTGTTGCCCACCAGCATGATGACGATGTTGCTGTCGGCGTGGTCCCGCAGCTCCTTGAGCCAGCGCTCCACGTTCTCGTACGTCAGGTGCTTGGCGATGTCATACACCAGCAGGGCGCCCACGGCGCCGCGGTAGTACCTGTGGGGACAGGGGCAGGGACCGGGTGAGCCGCACCAGCACCCACAGGGGTCTCTCAGTTTCTGTGGGCGACAGCTCTTTGGCCCAGGCACAGCGCCCAGCTGAGGGGCGGCTATCATGGCCTTGAGGGAGGGGCGCATGTCCTGAGGCCCCGGCCCTGGGCCCCAGACTCAGCTCAGGAAGGTAGGGACCTGTCAAGGGAGTCTGGAGTCAGAAGACACTTGTGGGGTCAGTCACAAAAAGGAGGGAAGGACACAGCACCTGTGAGAGAAAGGGCCACGGCTAGGCAGAAGCTCCAATGCCTGCTGTGGCCTGGCCCACCAAGGAGACCAGTGGACATATGTGCACCCCAAGGGATTAAGTACTACTCACCAGGAGGTGAGTAGACCTCAGTGGAGGGAGTCCAGGGGCCAGCAAATGACTGATAGGGAATGGCTGGGGGGTTGGGAGGGTCTAGGAAGAGACAGCCCAAGTGGGTCCTGATGGCTGGGTGGCCACGGGGAAGGAGTGCCAGGTCTGCGTGGGAACATGGGATGAGTGTGGGACAAGGTGTGAGCACTGAGGGGACCTGAGGGAAGAGGCAGGCTGGGAATGTGGCCCAGCAGGATGGGCCGAGCGGGCAGGGCTAGAGAGCAGGCAGAGTGGAGTGGCCTCAGCCAGGCCTGGTTAACAGCCCTCACCATGCAGCCACCACCCAGCAAAAGTGCAGAGCCTGAGAGGGACTCCGGGGGTGAGAGGGGCCGTGGGACATGCCCACCTGGGTGCTGGTGTTCCCGAGGGTCCCACAGTTCCTGAGGGTCTCATCCCTTCACCCTGGTTCCCCTGCTCTCAGGGGTGTGCTCTCCCCTTCTCCTCCCACCCAACTCCTACCCATCCCTCAGGGCCCAGTGGCCCCGTGCCCAAGCCTCCTGCATCTCCCCACCCCCACCACTCACGCGGAGGTGATGGCACGGTAGCGCTCCTGGCCGGCGGTGTCCCAGATCTGTGCCTTGATGGTTTTGCCATCTACCTGGATGCTGCGGGTGGCGAACTCCACGCCGATGGTGCTCTTGCTCTCCAGGTTGAACTCGTTGCGGGTGAAGCGCGACAGCAGGTTGCTCTTCCCCACGCCCGAGTCCCCGATGAGCACCACTGTGGGGGCGGGGAGGGATACGGTGAGGCTCTGTGGGCCAGAGTGAGCCAAGACCCCGAATGCCAGCCACGCCCACCCACGGAACCTTCATAGCGCACCCTGGGGGCCAATGACGGGGCCGAGTCAGAGCTGTCCTGGAGCCCCTCAGCCGGGGCACCACACTGCCTGGTGCAGAGGCGAACAGAGTCCTTCAGAGCAGGGCTGCGCCACCTGGGGCACGGGGACTCAAGCACCCCGGCAGGCAGATGGCTTGGGGATCCACCAATCCCAGAACCTCCACTGTCGCCTGGGCAGCTGGGTACACCCAAGAAAGTCTCCAGGGCTGAGCAACCTAGGGCAAGTCGCTTAACCTCTCGGGGCTGCCTTTTCCACATGTGTGCAAGGAAGGACGGTAGCAAGAGGCCCCTCGGGGACGGGGACACCAGTTTCCTACTGATCAGGAACAGGAAATGAGAAGCCTCCCCCAACGCCCACCCCGCGGTCCCCTTACGGAAAGCTGTGCAGACCCCCACTCAGCACCAGCACGGCGCACCAGCTCAGGAGGAACAGGACAGGAACGTGCCCTCTGGACATAGCTGGGAAGGGACAGAGCCTGCCACCTTCTCCCAGCATCCCTGTCCCCAGGGTCAGACTGTCCTGCAGGGGTGTAGGAACAAGAGCACAGGGCAGAGCAGGCGGGCGGGTCTCTCCCGTCACCCCTGCCCAGCCACAGAAGCACGCCTCCGAGGCCCAGTCGCCCCAGGCTCTGGGGTAGAGCCACGTGAGGTGGTCCAGGAGGGCTGTCCTCAGACCTAGGGCACACCAGAGACTCGCGTCCATGCATGGACACGTTTGTGTGTAAGCGTGCATGCACCCATGGGTGTATGTATGTGCAGCGCAAGGAAAACAATACATGGCCGTGTGACCAGATGCCCCAGCTGGAAACCACATGCACCCCCAGTGTGGGCCTTGGGCACTAGCATCCAAGGGTGGGTCCGCTCAGTGGAGAGCCATGGGGGCTGCAGGGTTGCTTACCCATGGGCCCGATGAAAGTTTTATGTGTGTGTGTCCAGATCCCCGCCACTTCTTACCACCTTCACTGCCCCCACCCTGGTCCATGCTGCCGCCATCTCTCCCTCCCTGGGGTCCCAGCGCACACACAGCCCCAATCAACAGTCTGTTCTCCTCGCGGCCGCCGGAGGGCGCCAGTGAGCTCCTTAGTCGGGTCCGGCCCTCCTCTGCCCACAGCCCTCCCAAGGCCCCCTGCACCGCTGTGGTCCTGCGCCACCTCCCCCGTACCCTCCCTGCTCCCCGCTGCCCCTCACTCACTCCGCTCCTGCCCCTTGGGCCTCCTCGCTGGGACTCAAAGAAATGGGGTGCACGCTGTCCTTTGCCTGGGAAGTTCTTCCCCAGGTACCCGCCCGGGTCCTGCCCTCATCAACTCCGGGTGGGCCCTCAGATGGCACTTGATGGAGCAGGCCCTCCCTGCCGTCCGTCCTCTTACAGCCCCACCCCCCCAACACTCCCCACGCCCCTCTCCTGCCTTTCCTCCGCGGCCCCCGCCCCCACCCCTCCCCAGGTCTCCCTTATTTGTTTTTGGCCATTCTGCCTCGAGGGCGGGCATCTGGGACACTGATTCCCCGCTGCATCCCCAGCCCCCGGCGCAGTGAAGGAATGACAGACGCAAAAGTGGCTGGCAGAGCCCTGGGCCCACATCTCCCCACACCTGGAAGATGCCCAGGTCACCATCCTCGGGCCACAGGCGAAGAGCGGGCAGGTGACGCAACCCCCAGGACACTGCACCCTCCCTGGGCTGGCTGCTTGAGAGCCAAGAATAAGGAGAACAGGAAGAATGTTCACTGAGTCTGGGCTGAGAAAGCCCTTCATGTGCATCGCCTCACACAGCCTCATGTAACCCATTTTACAGATGAGGAAACTGAGGCACAGACAGGAGTGACAAGCTCAAGGCACATGGTGAGCAGGAGGCAGAGCAGGGGTCTGAGGCTTGCTCCCACCTCCCAACCATGCTCACCAGGTAGCAACTTGCCAGGGTCGCCTGGCTGGAAAGTGGTCCAGCAGGATTTGAACCCAGGTTTTCTGGGTCCAGGGCTAAGCTTAGGCGTCTAGGTTCAGCCTCGTCATCTTCCACCACCTGGGGCATCTTGACCCCTGGGAGTAGCTGGCAAACTCCTGCTCATCCTTCAAAACCCCTCGGTTCAGGCCCCTCTTCTCCCACCAAACCACCATACGGCCTGGCCCACACCACCTATGACAACAGTGCCAGTGTCCTCTCGTGACAACATGGATGCCCACGCAAAGACTGCTGAGTTGACTTCAGAGAAAGGTGGAGATGGACACAGGCCTGTGGCCCAGAGCCGGGGACTCCCAACCATGCTGGGGCCTCAAATCAGCTCCTAGGCCATGCGAGGCCAGGCTGGACTGACTGTGGGGCCCACCAGCCACTCCCCCAACCCCTCACCTCCATCCCACGGCAGCCACAGAAACTGGGCCAAGGCCAGGGAGGTTTGCTCAGTTCTTACATCCTCAGGAACGGAACAGGAAATGAGGAGGAGGGTCCCTTTCGGGCCCTGCCCTGTATCCCCCACAGCCCCTCACTCTCCTCCCAGGCTTGTCCCGGCTGTACTGTTTCCGGGTCCCCTTAGCCCCATCGGTCCTACCGGGGCCCAGCCCTAAAGGCTGTGTTTATCCAGTTCTCAGGGCCACCCCAGGGACAGATGTTGACACGGTTATTCCCTTTGTAAAGTTGGGGACACTCAACCCAGAGTGACCAAGTCCCCCAGCCCAAGGTCGCCCATTGAGCATAGAGCAGGATGAGTGCCACCAGCCACTGCCGAGACCAAGGGCAGAAGGCTGGGCTGTCCGGGCAGTCGCTGGCACACGGTGCTGGATGCAGAGAGGTGACCGGTGGGACAGCGGCCGGGCTGGCCCCGTGTGCGGGCTAGGAATGAGAACAGCATTGTCCAAGATACAAGCGACCTACTGTCTTGGGGAAAGAAAGGGCCCATGAGGACACGGCCCCCAGCATTTCCATGGAAGTTGGTGGCATCACCGGCTGGGAAACAGCCCCCCTGGACATGCCACTTGGCTGGCAGAGCAGGCAAGCCCAGTTGGCAAAAACAAAGAGCTGGCACTTCCTGAAGCCCTGGGTCCTCTGGCCTGCCCCATGACAGTGCGGCACCCCTGGGGCCCACATGCTGAGCTCAGGCAGACTGAGTGGCCATTCGGGTGGGAAGCTGGATCCCCGACCTCAGGCAGAGCAGAGCCCCACCTCTCCTCCAGGATGCTGGCCCTGAACATCCCAGGCCCCAGGATCCGGCACTTAGGGGCCACCTTGCCACAGCTATTCCCCAGGGAATCAGACAGCAGAGGACAGGGCTCTGAGCCACTGCAGTAGCTTCCCACCCCAGCCAGGTCCTCACGGGCCAACGGATGGCCAGGGGCTCTGGGAAGGCCTCGGTGGCCCTTGGGGACACAGCTGCTCCCACTGTGAACCCTGCAGCCTGGTCCATCAGACGGGAGGTCAGGGGTGCCCCCGGGGATCCACAGGCAAGCTGGGAAAACAGTCCCTGGTTATAAAATGTTAGCAGGATAAATGTGAGGCTCTATAATTAGACCAATAAACAAGCACACTCCTAAGGGAGGGCGGAATGCACAGCGAGGAAAATAAACAGCACGTGGGGAAGGAAGACACCCATGGGGGTCGGTGGCCTCGCTGAGGAGGTCGGGGAGCCAGTGTGGGAGGGCAGGGCCAGGGGAAGGTGACTGACGCCTGGGGGAGGCTGGGCACAGGGCGGGGGGCAGAGGATCGGCTGAACGGCTCCCCCGACCAGGTGGCAGGGTCCAGGAGCCACAGGGTGAGAAAAGTGGCCCATGGCAACTCTTCTAGCACGCTCGTGTTTTGAATGCCTCTCTGATGCCCAGGCCTAACTCTCTGCAGGCCACCGGGCCTCGGGAGGGCCTGGGAGTGCAACATACCCATGTGTCTGTCTACCCGCCGAATGGATGGCAAGGGATGTGATGGGAGCCGCTTGCCCGGCTGCTGGCTTCCCTCCTCCCCTCTGCGTTTGCCAGAGCCAGACAGTTTCCTTTTCCTATTGGAGTGAGTGGAAAACCGAGCAGGTTGCAAGATAAATATGAAAAGATAACAGAGGGGTCCTCCGACAAGGCATCGGCGTGAAGACGAGGTCTCAGACAACCACAGTCAGGGAAATGCTGACCTTGGGTCCGACGTGCACTTCCAAGCCAGCTTGAAAAGGTCAGCAAGGCACCTGCTCGACTCGGAAAAAGGAGGCCAGAAGGGGAGGGCAGTGGGGCGGGCAGCTACCCCTCCCACCCCCCGCCACCATGAGCCAGCTGCCGCAGGAGCCAGAGCAGTGTTTCCAGGAAGTGGACCCTGGAGACGCGTCCCTGGAAGCCCAGGGCCGCCCCATTGCCCCTGACCCAGTAATGGTACTTCTGGGAACAAACTTCAAGGAAACAGCTCAACGGGCAAAAGATGACTCGTGCAAAGCTTGGAGCTGGCTTATTTATAACAGCCAAAGGTTAAGAATAACAAGTGGGCAATGACCACAGAAACCAGGAGGTGGCTGCTGGGGCAATGCCTTCTGCCCTGGCTGTGCCACGACCAGGCGGGTACTCCTTGCGGATGTCTCAGGGCCGGCTGCATAAAAACAGGCACCAGGTACAGCAGGACTGGAGTCCTGTTCACCTGTCCCCAAAGCCCTAACAGAGCTTCCCCTGCCTCTAAGGGGAGAGCCCGAGGCTCAGTGGGTGGCACACAGCCTCGCCTACCAGTGACATATCAGCCTGCATGCAGCCCTCCAAGCCCACGGTGCTGTATGACGACCCTGGGCCTTTGCACGGGCACTCTCTCTGCCCAGAAGCCTTTCACCAGGTGGATAACCCCGGGAGAAAGAGCACTGCCCGACTCTCCACATCCCCAAGGTCCCCAGGCTCCCACACGCTAGATAATACCACAGACAATGGTCAGTGACAGACACAGACCACACTCCCAGGGATGGCCAGGCTCCCCCAATGAGGGGAAGATGCCAACAGCTGGTGTGGGAGGCAGACCCTCACGCAGCAGGCAGTGGGGCAAAGATGCCCACCCCACATGGCCCCAGGGCTGAGCTCTCAAGAGCTGCCACTGTCAGCCAGGGAGCCGAGCACAGACAGCACAGGCCCTGAGCCCAGCTTGGCACAGAAGGCACTGCAAAGCCAGTGACCCCTCCTTCTATGTCTCACCCCTAAGTGAGATGTCTCCCTAGCTTGAGGGGTAGGGTTGGCGAGGCCCAGGACATTGGCCACCATGTGTTGGGGGAGGCAGTGTGACAATCCTATCCCCAGATCCTGGCTGCACGCTTCTCCGGACACACTCCCTAAGTGGTAAAGCCACAGCTGGCCTGGGCTCAAGTCCTGCCCCAAAACTTCTTCCTTGTCTCTCTGGGCCTCAGTTTCCAGGTCCATAAAGAGAAAGGCTGGACAAGACGGACCTCACAGAGTCGTGATGAGAATTTCAACGAATTCATGTGCACAGAGCTTAGAAAAGTGCAGGTACTCGGATAGTGCTACGAATTCTAACAGTTAAGAGAGATCATTGCTACTGTCAACCACTGGGCCTGGGTCCAACACACACAGTTCCCTCCTGTCCGCACCCCAATCCCTGGTCCCCCCCATATACACGCCAACACCCATTGTCCACCCCGCCCTTCCCAGGCTCCGCCCCCAGACGTGCCGCCACCAATCAGGCCTGGCCCCTCCCACCTCGCGAAGAGCCCCCCCCCCCGCCGCCCCCGCCCGGCCCGGTCTTGGGCACGCCCACTACAGCCTAGCCCCGCCTCCAACGGCCCCGCCCCCACACGAGGGGAGCTTTCCACCCAGCCCGGCCTGCAGAACGCGGCGGCGGCCCCGCCCCCTCTGAAGGCCCCGCCCCTAACGGCCTCTCCCACCGCTCCGGGCCCCACCCCCTCTGGGCCCCGGCTCCGCCCCGGCTCATCCAGGGCCCTCGGGCCTCCTGGGCCGCCCGCTCCGGACCGTCGCGCACCCCTGCCCAAAGCTGACCAAGCCCGGCCCGCCTCAGCCCTCCCGGCCGCCTGACTCGCCGGGCCCCAGGCCCCGGGCTCGGCTTGGGCCCAGCGGCCTGGAGCGCAGCCTCGGCCTGCCTGCCCGCCGCTTCGCCGCCGCGCCCTCGCCCGTCTGTGCCCCAGCGGCCGCACCTTTGAATAGGTAGTCGTACTCGTCGTCCCGGGTCCCCATTGTCCTGGCGCTTCCGGCGGGATCGGCGACTCCGCAGCCCCACCACAAACACCCGACGGGGGCGGAGCCGGCGCCGCGCAGAGCGGCGGCCGGATAGCTAATCAGCGTCGGGTGGCGTAACGACCGGCATCTAGAGCAGCCAATCAGAGGTGGAAGCAGAGCCCCGGGGGTGGGCACCGCTTAGCACCCGCCCTCCTCGCTCTCGGTCTCCCGGAGAAAGGCGGAAGGATTGCGGACCTTTCTGAAATGACGGCCGCGCCAGCCTATCAGATGCAGGCTCAGGAAGGCGGGGCGGAAGACGGGAAGAATGAGACGGATTGACGGAACGAGTAGCCAATGAGAGGCTTGATTCAGACCGTGCCAGACCGCCGGAGGACCTGTCCTGGAGGGGAAATGGGGCTGCGTCCAGGTGATGTTACGCTACGTAACGTCCCAATGACGTCATAGGTCAATGCACGCTGCTCTGCCTCCCCGCCCCCATAAATGACAGTGTCTGGGGGGCGTCTCTGCGGGGTCTTTTCCAGAGAGGTTTTTCCTGCTCTCTCGGTTGCAGGGTCTTTTCCACCTAGAGGTCCCCTCTCCTCTTTCGGTTGCACTTTGCATCCTTGCGTTGGTGACATTACTATACCCTTCTGCCTCGGTTTCCTTCCTCTGTATAACAGGGAAGAAACTCATCTCATGGAATCTTCGGAAGATAACTAGATCATTTCCCTGAACACACTCTGAATCAACCATCCACTTTCTGTCATTGTCTTTGTTTAACAAATATCTGTAAATCCTTCTTGGGCGTCAGACTTCCCCAACTTGGTCTCCTCCCCTTCTCTGTCCACTTATTATGTATGTGTTGTAGATATTTCTCCCTATTTTTCATTTGTCTTTTAACTTTGTTTACAGGATTTAAAAAAATCCCTTTCCTTTTCCTTTCTATCTTGCCTTTAAAAAATATTAGTAAATCTACTAGTCTTTTACTTTATGGCTACTGGCTTAAGAATGTTCTTCTCATCAAAATTATGAAAATATTCACCCAAATTTCCAACTTACTCATTACTTTTCATGCCATTAATTTTTCAGTTATTTTTTAAAAATTATTAGGTTATGTGCAAGACAAATATTTCTACCCCACCTCTGACCCTCCCTGGAGGGACAAAGGCTAGGAAATGGCTGAAGAACTGGGTGATGTTATACCTCATACTTAATAATGAAAACATAGCAATATATATTATTTATTGTCTTGCTGTGGCAATTTTGGTGCTCATGGAGGAAAAAACCCACATTTGACTTATGTCCACAGAAGATAAACTCTAAACTTAGTCATTGGTAAGAAATGGGCCCCTACTTGCTGCCTCTCTTTGTTCCCATTTATGATCTGGCTTCTTGGAGCTCTGCTAAGGTGCCAGGATCCACCCCAGGGAAAATTGCTCCTTCCTTCCAAAGCTCACCTTTGAACTGAAGTGTCAGAGCCTGGTAAGCTCTACGTTCTTCCTCTGCCAAGCACGAGTCAGAGGACCTGAGCCCAGCAGCTTCACAATCTGCGGCTGTTCTGGCATTGGGAGCCACAGCCCCTGTCTCTGCAGACAGATGAAGGGCTCAGAAAAGGCTGGAATGAATTTAAATTTTTTGCTTTTTCATAGCTGGTGTCAACTTAGCCTCTCTATTCATAAAATATCCTGACTCTGAAAATAATCCTGTCTCAGTTTTTTGAACCTCACCCTTGGTTGGATTTTGATGCTCTGGAAATTTACACTAACCACATGGCTAAGGATAGACAAGCTGCCTGGGCTGTGAATTTGGAAAGCTGGATGTGAGGAGCAGCTGCCTAGGCTCCACACTTTGGCCAGAATGCTCCCGCTAGCCCAGTGGTGTGAGCTTCTAAACTCCCGGCAGGTGGGCAAAGCCCTAATGTTAATTGAGTCAATGGTTTATATTTTAAGCATTTTAACTCTGAAATCGCTTTTTCAAGTTTTCTCTCTTTTCCTCTTCTCTCAATGGAAAAAGTATCCTGCCTCCTTGCCAAGGTCAACGTTTGTGTTTATACCCTAGATCACCCACGCTCCTTGAACTCATCCTCTCAGCTCCTCTGCCCTCTTTTCATTTTACCTCTATTAGCACTTTCCATTTATCCTGCAGACATGCTCCCCAATCCTCAAACTGTTCTCTCAAGCCACCTACGCCATTAAAGCATCGATCTCATCTAAATCAGCCACCTCCCCCAACCCTCTCTGCGTCTCTTGTATGTTTCCTTCCTAACAATGGTCTCATTTATAGTCATTTGAACTCTTATGGTTTACACATATTTTTATTATATCCCTCATTACTATATAAGTTCCCCAAGGACAGGATGCATGCTTGCCTCACTCATTATATCTGTGGAAATAAATGAAGACCAACCAAATGAGAACGAGAAAAGGCTGTTTATTCAGAGCTTGCAAGGGAGTCAGTCACCATTACTTGAATTTTGGCAGAGACTCAAAGGCAGGCAGAAGAGTGGGGAAAAGGGAAGGCTTTAGGAATGGCCTGATTGGAGGCTGTCAGCATGGGGATGCTGTAGATAGGCTAACTAGAAATGAGGCATTGTGTGAGGTTGGTTAGGGGTGCATATTTGACTTTCTCCAGTGGTCCTAAGTTGGAAACAGGGGCCAAAACTAGAGAAGCTGTCAGTAACTAATGAAGTCCCGGCCATTTGGGGCTGATTGTTATAGGGGTTATTATTTGGCTTCCTGGACTGATTGTTATAGACAGTAGTTTGACTTTTTGGACTGGTTACTGCAGATAGTAGGCTGGCTTCCTGGGCTGGTTGTTACACGTTATGGGGAAGAGTCCTATTTTTATACACAGTCTAGTCATTGTTCATTTGCATATCCAGTCCTTCAGTCCCCAGGACCAGCACAGTGTCTAGCACAGAGTAATAACTCAATATTTATGAATGAATATATGGATGGCAACGCAGAATTTGACAATGTCCCTCTGAGATGCAGTTCTTTTCATTTCTCTTCTGCCCCTAGCTTCTGCTCCCCTGTCTCTTCACTAGCTCCATTTCCCCTGTCACCTCCCAAGTACAGATAAGTTAGAGACTCTCTACAAGCTTTGCATTTTCCTCTCTACATTTTTCCTAGAAAACTCCTCTATTTCCACATCGCCAAATAACACTTCCAGGAAAGTGATCCCAAAACTCTTAGCTCTAGCGCTGACCTTTCTCATGCACCTCAAGTCAACCATTTGATGGGCATTTCCATGCTGACATCCCACCAGCACCTCTAACCCTATCAACAGCCCTTCCTCCCTGGGAAGTCCTCTCTCTTCCTCCAGATTTTTCTATTTGGTTCAGTTGTGGCAAAAACACTATGAAATGTGGTTTCTGATTCTGCAGGAGCACAAATCTGAGGATGGATGTGAGCAGAACTGAGGGAAGGATGGAAAATGAAAAAATGGGTGATTGGTTTTGTTGGCAGGAATACTGCCCCCTTGAAATGCAAGAAGAGACTGGACACTCGAACTGTCTCAAAGGCTGGAGCTGGGGAATATGATTCAATGTGAAAGACACCAGCCTTGGACACCAGAATAATCTCCAAATCTGGGTTCCCCAACAGCAAAAGCAATGGGGCAGTGGAAAGTACCTAAGGAAGGAGGGGATCAGCAGAAATGGGGTGGGGGAAGAAAAGGGCAGGGACCTAGTGGAGGAAGAATGGGAGGGATGCTCAGCACTCCTTTTTCAGGCAGCAGAGGTGGTCTTGGAACAAGATCTCAGTGCATGAATGTCAGGCTGCAGTGACTTCTGCACTTGGGTAAGGGGTCTCAGAAAGGAACCTTAAAGCAAGGGAAGCATGCATGTTTTTGCTTTTCACCTGCTACCCAGGGCTTCCCAGCATTCTCTGAGGAAGTACTTGAATAGGGTTTGATGTTCCCATAGTGGAAAATCGACTGGGTTGCATCCAGCAGAAGGAATGCCCTCCACTGTCTCTCCTTCCACTCAAGAGCTGGTACAATCTGGGCTATGGAAAGTACCTCTTAGAGATGGGAGCATCAGAGCTGAGTCGTCCAAGGCTGTTGTCAACTTTGTGATAGTTCTCTCTCTCCCACATTTCATCTTATACCTGTTTTGTGGCACTGCATACAAAAGTATGGTCCAAATTTCTTTAGGTTCTATTTTCCTAATAGTTCCTGAATCTGCCTGTTTCTGATCCACTGTCTCTCCTGGAGCCTAACTTCACACCTCCTAGAGCGTTATTCACAATTAGGTTCCTAGCACCTGCATTTCTTACTTCATTCCAGTTCTGCAAATTCATCCTACACATTGTCCTCAGCCTCTTGTCTTCAGTTTGGCCCTTTTTAACCTACTCTTTACACAACAACGAGATCTTTTTAAACGTCTGCAGCTGCTGGTTACAAAAGGTGGAATGAATAACTGGGATCCCACTAAAATGATTGTTTATTTCTAAGTGTCTCTTTACTAAGAGAGTGAAGAAAACCGCCAGTGAACAACAGATTGCAACAAATATTTAGAAGATGGAAAGCATAGGAAAGCACACCAAAGGGAACAGGGGTGGCCAGAGGAAGGGGAGGAGGCAGCTGCTGGGGAAGAAGGCACTGATCTTCCAGGCAGAACCTCCAAGAGGCTCTGGGCTCACAGTCGGCAGGCCTAGGGGGCGGAGAGAGAAACTCTACACGTGCTTTCCCCCACGTCCTCTGCCCAAATCTAGAGCTCAAACAAACCAACTTTAACCCCAGAGGTAGGGGGAACGTGGAAGGGATCTTCTCTAAAAACTCAAATTCTGGATAGTGCTGAAGTTTCATGTATGATGAAGCATATGATGCTGGCACCCCAGAGAGAAACATCTTATTCCAGCATCTGAGGGGTCTGCACTCCAGTGTAGCTCCTGCCAACTCAGTCTCGAGAGACTGCATACACAAGTGGACAATGTCCAGATGTGTATCAAAATAGAATTCTAACCCATTATCTGCAGTAATCAGCCTGGAAAGCCAGACTACTATCTATAAGTCAGACTTATGGGAAGTTAGACCCTATCTCTAGCAACCAGCCCAGGAAGCCAAGCAAGAGTCCCTCTAACAATCAGCCCCAAACAGCCAGGACTTGATTAAAAACTGACAGTTTCCCTAATTTTTATCCCTGCTTCCAACTGAGGATCGACCAGAGAGAGCCAAATATGCTCCTCTAACCAATCACAAAGGATGCCCCATCTTCTAGTTATTATCCTATCTACAGCTTCCCCAGGCCGACAGCCTCAGTCAGGGCATCCCGGAAGTCTTCCCTTTTGTCTCCTCTAAGGCTTTCTCCCTACTCTGCCTGCCTTTGAGTCTCTGCCAAAATGCAAATGATGGTGGCTGACTGCCTTGCTCTAGCAAGCTCTGAATAGCCTTTGCTTGTTCTCATTTGGTTGGTCTTCATTTATTTCCACATTCTGAAGCAAAATCTTCCAGTTAACAGTCCTCCCCATGTACCCAGAACTCCTCATCAGCTTTGTTAGTCAGGAGAAAGAAGACCCACATATACAACCATGGAGGACACTCATTCCAGCTAGCTAGAAAAATGAACCCAGCCCCTCGTTCTTAAATATGGACACACAGCCAAGGTCACCAGACACAGAAAAAAACAACAGCACAGAGGGAAGATCAAAATAAACAGACCGGATTGGCCTTGAAGGAGATACATCAGAGATGAGAAACAAGCTCTAAAAAAAATTCTAATTAGATCTTCAGCGAGATTTGAGAAGATATTACATCCATAAAACCAAAAACAGCAGGCTGTGAAGAACAAGGGAATTAAAAAAAAAAGTCTCCTGGAAATTAAAAGTGGTTTGCCAAATTAAAAAGATTGGAAGATTAAGTTGAAAAACTAACAGAACAGAGTGCAAAAAAATAGCCTGTGTGTAGTAGAAAAGACAAGCCACCTTTTGTAACTTTTTCCTAGCTAAATCCAGAAATGTTAGAAGTGGTGCCTCCAGGCAGTGGCCCATGGGCCAAGGGGCTGGCTGGCTGGGGCTCTGTTGCCCTGTATTAGAGATCCTCTGACCTGCGTGTTTTAGCCATGTGCATGGATCACTGTGATTAAAACAACCTAACTGCAAATCTGACAGTTCCACTCCACTACTTGAAACCCATCACTCCTCCAGCCACATGTAGGGAGAGAGATCAGACTCTATTTCTTGACTATGACCTCCTGGGAGCCAGCCTCCTCCCCCTGCGCTCCCCATATCCACTCCAGCTCCACTCAACAACTTACCAAGATACTTTGTGTGAGCCTCATCAGCTGGGGCTGTGGAGTCAGATCTACCTGGTTGCAAACCTGCACAGGCTTCTGTTCTAATTTGAAAAATGAAGATAGCAAGAGTGGCTCTCAAGGCTTTCGTGAGGATTAAATGAGCTGGCGCACACATGTCAGGAGCTTGGCAGAGCCCCTAGGCACAGAATAAGTGATCAATAAATACTCATAGTTTTTAGGGCTCCCAGAACTGGTCTTGTTTTGTCCATCCCAATTCTAAACCTACTTTGACTATTTTTTATACTTACACATAAAAATACTAAAAGTCACTAAACTCAGCCTTGTTACCAAGCACATACCCTCAGACACTTCATTCAGTCCTCAATTCTTAAGAAATTTTACTTATGTATTTTTGCAGCCACAATTTATTAATTTAAAAACAATTAAAGGCCCCCCTTCATACAGTTCATGCCTTGGGAACCCAGCTGGTTTTGTCTAGGATTTCCTTTCTCTTCTCAGTGAAGTGATCCTCCTTCACGGGGGACTCAAGCCTCACCCCTTTTGGGAGGTCTTCCCAGGACCCCGCCCCAGCCCAGACCCCTGTTTTCACAGTCCTCCAGTGAAGTGCTTTGTCATCACTGCTGCTGTCGTCTCCTGCTCCAGACTCCAAGCACGTCGTTGAAAGGCCTCTCTTCATTGGTTGTAGAACTGGAGCACCCCACCAGGAACAGGGTTTGCTCAGCGCATGCGCACTTTCAAGGTAAGCGTGGGAGGAATGGGGGTGGAGTTAACTGAGGAGCCGGGCTTGCTGGTTTCTGGTGAGAGTGAGCACTCGTTAGAAAAGCCAACCGACTCAAGTGCAGGCGTATTAGAAGCCTCTCTTTGTCAAAGAAAACTTGGGGAAGGCACCATCGATGATGGGAAGCTGCTGGGCTTCTGGAAGGTTCTAAGGGGGCATTGTGGCTGCCAGTCCACTTACAGAAGGAATGTGAAGACCACCTTGGCGCCCCCTTCTCTGATTCGGTACCAGCTCTTCTGTCTTACTCTTTGGGACATGGCACTGCCTGAGAAGCATAGACTGTACCCCAACAAATGATGGCACTGGCTTTTTCCTTTTCCTTTTTATAAGTCAAAATCATCTGGTCCAACTATCTCATTCCACTCAGCAAAGAGGGAAACCAAGACAGTCTTTAATGAAGGTCGAAGCACTTGCCAAAAGTCATACAGAAAGTGGTAAAGTGGATTAGAACTCTGGCTTCCAAAATTCCAGACCAGTGTGTTATGATTCTGGGATTAAGAGGAAGAGGGAAGTCGAAAGCAGTTGAAGCAGCTGCTTCAGTCTTGGTGTCCAAAATAGAGCGGATGGTCTGGGTGGCCCCACCCTCATCCTGGCTTTGGGTCTTTTGCATGGTGTATCGCTTATTGAAATAAAAAGGGGGTGTTGAAAGGACTCCCACCGGGTGTTGTGAGGATGTAACAAGAGGGCCTGGCATGTGTTAAAAAGTTAACCATTATTAAGTAACAGCCAACTCCGAGACTTCAGTACAGCAGGCAAATTGGCTCCTTCTTTGTGCAGCTTGACTCCTTGACCATAGAGCAAGGACAGAGTGGGTCAGACACAGAAGGACAGGACAGACAAGAAACAGTTCAGACAAGGACAGAAAAGAAAGGTCAACTGTTTTATTGGAGGGACCATCATGGGACAGGAGGCTAGGGCTGTCACCATCAGGTCTGCCAGGGATAGGGGTGGGTGTGCACCAGATGAGAAGGGCCTAGAGTCCCACTTCAGAGCCCCACCATCCTTAAAGGCAGAGGGGGCAGATCACCTTGGCCCTGCTAGCCCTGAGCTGCCTTCCAGGGAGGGAAAGTCAGAGCAGAGCAGTGGAGGGGGCCTAGGACCAAATGTGTGAGGCTCAGGCACCAGCTCCTGCAGCCTTAATGTCCCACCACCCCCACCCTGGGCTGAGTCACTTAAAGAAGGGCCCAAGGAAGGAGGCTGCCATGGCCAGCATTGCTGGGGGAGAGCAGGGCTGTGAGTGGGAGGAGATGAGGCCCTCAGGAAAGACACGACAGGAAGAGAGAGAAGGCCATGAGAGTGTGAGAGAATTCCCAGGACCAGGCAGGGCTGGCAAAGAGACGGGCCACAGCCTCATTGGGGTTGCCCTGGGCAGGCTCGAACCACTTCTGCAGACACCGACCACTGTTCCTGTGCTCAGGACTCGCCTTGAAGGAGTTGCTCCAAATCCTCTCACACAGGTCAGCCGGGGTGGGGAAGTAATGGGGGAAAGGGTGGCAGCGGGCCCTCGCAGGGCAGCGGTTCTTCCCTGTGGGGGATTAGGCATGGACAACTTACCTCCCACTAGTCCCACCCTCCCATCCCCATCATTTGCCCTGAGGGAGCACAGTGGGCTTGCCCCTGCCCCTGGGTGGGTTGCCTCCCAGATCCTGCTTTCCCCCTGGGCCCTGTCAAGTGCCACTCACCTCCACTCCAGTCCCAGCCACCATGCCAGTTGGATTTGCAAGTGTAAGATGTGCGGCAGTCTTCCCACCACTGCTCACAGTCCTCCCGGCACAGTGGTGCGTCCAAAATTCTCTCTCCCTGCCCACTCAGGTCCACCTGGGTGCAGGCATAGCAAGAGATGAGAACACTAAAGGCAGCAATTTGAAGACTATCAATAGCTACAATGGTACTGGTGCCAGGTACCATCTGACCATATTCTCTTATGAAGTCTCTAAGTATTATTTTACAACTGAGAACAATGAGGCTAAGAGGATGGATAGTTTGCCTTGGGCTGCACAGCTTCTGTTTCTATATACAGAAGATGGGATTCAAATAGTCCCTCACCCTTTGTTCTCATCTAACCAGTCTCGCCCAATGTCCTTCAGGGTTGGAGGCGGCTTCCTCCCCATCCCTTTCCCCAACAGTGGCCTTTGACTCTGTTCTTATCCACAGGAGGACATATCTCTTATTCCTGCTAGTGTTCTGGAGCTCAGATTCTCAGTAATAGGGCATTGCATGGGTGTGCCTCCTGCCTTCCTGGCCCCATCTTCCCACCTGCTGGATCCAAGGCCCCAGGTTTGGGGAGCACTCGTAGAAGCAGACAGCCTGGATGAAGTGCCTCTGACAGCCCGGCATCATCAATCCACAGTGGACCAAGCTGAAGTTGTAGAGCAAGGACACATTCAGGTGGGCTTTCCAGCTGGTGTTGGCTGTACAGCAGGCACTGTCCTTCCAGGGGATGCACTGAAGGTGGAGGAAGAAGCCAAAGGCATGGGGGGCGGGGATAAGAGGCAGGAGGTTGATGAGTGTCTAGGGCACAAAGGTAGAAATGTCCCCTGCAACAGCACCTGGAGGAGTGGGTTGCCTTTAGGCTAGCAACCCCCTGTATAACTTGTCAACTGCATGCTGACTGACCTCCCTGCCACAGTGCCCTAGAAATGTGACTTCCAGGATCTCAGCTCCTGAGAGGCAGCAGAGAAGCCTCATGAGACCTAGGGGAAGGGGGGGTTGCACTGGGTGGGAGGGCACTGTAGCTGAGAAGGGCACACAGGTACATGCCCGCTCTGCTCTTCCTTCCTTATCCCTGTCAATTGCCTTTAGGAGCTTGGGGAGAGGTCACTTAAGCCATGTGTTTCCCCGGGGCCTGTCGGTAGGAAGGGTAGAGAAGGAGGACCTTGTTTGTTTGAATCTGTGCTGACCCAGCAATGGGCCTCTGGGGGTCACCATCTGCCCCTGCTCCCTGAGTAGCAGGGCAGCTCCAAGATGGGAACTTTGAATCACTTGGCAATTATGGTCTCAAAAGTTCATAATCCCCTCCAGTGGCCTGTGCCCAAATTCCAACCTAAGGAACCAAATGAGTCAGGGTTGACGGGGGTTCAGAAACCACCTTGGCATTTGTGTCCCTTCCATGATCTGCCAAAGCAGCCCCCCTCCCACCTCTAGCCCAGGTCTGGCCTCTGTACCTCCTTGTGGAGCTTGTCTTCTGGGCCAGGTTCTCGCTTGTGGTGCTGGGTGTTCATGCAGACATTGAGCAGCTTGTCCCCAGCCCAGATGGGCATGACTGTCCACAGCCCTAGCAGGAGCTGCCACCACCATGCCATGGCCTACTGCAGAGAGGAGACCCACCTGCTCATGTGACAGAGAAGACACCCCCCTACTCCATTGCCTCCACTATCGCAGAGAGCAAGTCTGGACTTAAAGGCTCCCTCAAGTGACCATGACACTCCTACATGGCTACTCCTAGGACCTCCATTTGAGGTAGCATCATAAAATGTCAGGGCACGTGGCATAAACCTTGTGGGTCTGATACCTGCTCCCAACAATTGTGCAGATGCTGAAACTGAAGCCTGGGGAGGGGAGGAAACCAGCCCGAAGGTGAAGTTCAAGGGGAGAACAGTTCCGGCCTTCCCTGGGGGAGCTTTTCCTGGCCCTTCTCCACTTGGAGGCAGCCTTTCCAACTGAACTACTTATGGCCTGGGAACTCAGAGCTTTGATCCTCGTCCACAGTGAGCCCTCAAATGCTGGCTGAGTGACTGAACAAATGCTCAGTAACCAGATTCTACCCGGGGCAAAGGGCATGGTGGGGCTGCATAGTGTGACAAACGCAATTCTTACCCCCTCGAGTGCCAACCCTAACTTCAGCTTCTCTGAGGGGTCCATGAAGGGCCCACAGCTCCCCAAGCAGCTGGTCCCCTCCCAAGTCCCTTCTAGCCCGTCCTTCACCCTAGGGCAGTGATTTACTTCCATCAGCCCCAATGCATTTCAAACCAGCCTGAGCACAAGCTGGGGCAGCTGTGCACCCAGTGGCCCTGCTGGCATCTCAGACCAGGGATCATGCCCGGGCATGAGTCAGGTGTGAGAGCCTTCCACATCCAAAACCCGATACCTGTTACGGGAATGAGACTAGCTTTTCCCCTGGTGTTTGTTGACTGCTGTTTCCAGCTCTGGTCTGGGTAGTACTGGTAATGGGAGGGAGTGGAGAGACCACAAAAAAGGCAGAAGAGCTCCCTGCCTCAAGCACCTAACCCCTTAGCTAACAGGGCTCCCTCAGCCTTCATCCACCCAGGAGCTCTTGGCTTCCCCAGGCCTTGCAGGAACCGGCCATGGACGAAAACTTCCGGCCTAGTCTGAGTTTAGAGACCCCAGCCCCACCTCCCGAGCTTATCCTTGTGTCTAAACCTAAGGCTGCTCTCTCTCCTGAGCACCAGTTTCAAGCACAGACATGGCCCTCAAGTGTTTTTAAAGAAACAGGTACGTCTGGTGAAAAGAAGAAAGATGCTGCCCCTTCTAGCGTTTTCTTCATACTCACTTTAAAAGCAGGAGCTGCTCCCTCCCAGCTGCAGAGATTGTGAGGCTGAGGAGATTGTAGAGGCTGCCCATTTATCACACACTCAGTTCCTCCTAGGTCCAGGTGCACATGCAGAACTCCAGGTGTCTCCAGTTAAAAGCATCCCTCTTACCCAAGTGTAGAGGCCTCCTGGGGGAGGAGCCAAGAGGGTTTTGCTTTCTCAGAGAAAGAGAGGCCCCAAAGTGGGTAAGATCCTGGCTCCTTAGTCAGTCACTGGGTTCTGCTACTTGCTGGCTGGATGACCTTGAAAAAATGGCTTAAACTCTATGTCAGTTTCCCTATCTATATAAAGAACTCTTACGAAGGGATTGTTGGGAAAAAGAAATGAAAGAGAAAGTTCAGGAAAAGGACTTCGCATCGTGCCTGGCACAGAGTAAGTCTTAATGTTTTCATTCTTATCCTTTTGTTCTGTGAAGGCCTCTCAGCCCTGTTCCTCAGCTTCTGCCAGCCCCTTCATTAGCACGGTTACCTGGGGTGGACCACCTGGTGGTCCGAGTAACAGTGACCTCTCTCAGCCCTCTGGAGCTAAGTTTCCTGATGGGGAGCAGACCCAGCCTCACAGAGATGCCAAGATAAAGCCAGGCCTTGGGGACCCAAGAATTCAAATGTATGACCAAAGCCAAAATAAACAAAAAAAGTCCCTCCACAACCTGGGAACCAGCTCCCCTCAGCATATCAGTGTTCTCAGGAGTGATATTCACAAGAGCGTCCTTCTCAGCTAAGGAGAGGCTGGGAGACTGGACAGGACTCTTAAGAAAGAGTTCCAAAGATGATGAAAACAATGGAGAAGGAGCCCATCTCTTTGCCTGTTTCTTGTAATAAGCTCTCCAAAGGAGAAGTAGCCAACGTCACTGAAGTTTCATCGATACATAGGAAATTAAAACAAAACAATAAAAGCATTAAATAAAAGTCAAATGCCATAATCAGATTGTGTTGAGAGGCATGCATCAGCTTTTTTGGGAACAGTGATGGTTACCAGCCCAGCCTCCCATGTCCCGGGCTTAAGCAGAGTTAGGAGTCTCCTTTTTAGAGTCTGATACCAAATGGTAATGACATTTCTGCAGCACGGGTCTCTTCCCACAGGTGTCCACTCAGCAGGGGAAGAGCAGGTACATGTCCTGTTCAAGTCCTCGCAAATACTCAAGAAGCTCTAAGGCTAGGTGAGGTAAGGGAGTTTGGGTTTAACAAAGTTTCAGACGGCTGTGGGCGTGGCAGGGACAAGAATGCAGAAATGAAGCGCGGAAGTAATTACTGAAATGGAAAACAGGTCTTTGGGTAACCGTCCTTCACATCGAGGGAAGAAGGACGAGGAGGAATTTGCTAACAGTCTTTAGGACAAGGCTGTAGGAAATGAGCTAAAATTGCAGCCAGCGCAGGTGCCGGGGAAAGAGGGAGGGAGGGATTCTGGAGGCTGCCTCCCAGAGAGCCATCAGGCTGGCTGACATCTGCTCCCCAGAGAGGCAGTTGGCAGCCTGTGAAGAAAACTCATTTCTGCCTTATTGAGATTGAGTTTTCCGGAGAAATCAGTTTTCTGACTGAAAGCTGATAAACCAAAGCTGGCTGTGGATGAAGCTGTTTGAAGCTGCTGTTCCCAAACAATTTGGTTCTAAAAAAACAAAACAGAACACTTAAATTGCCAAGAGCAGAGCTCTGGCAGTGTTGAGAGGGTTCTGAGGGGAGGGGGAGCAGCCCAGCCTCCCTGGTTTGGGAACAGAGCGTAAGGTGAGCAGTAAGAATTCTTCTCTCCCCTACACACCAGGTGGCCCGAGGTGCTGATGCTCACTGAGTTCAAGAACAGGCTAAGATAGCAAAGAACTAGTGCCAGGAATCTCCTGGTGAGAAGCTGAAATCAGAGGCCAGCTGGAGGGGCCATCAGTGATTCAGAGTTCTTAGCTGGTCTTGTGAGTCCTTCTCCTCCCCCCAAAATCTATGACCATCCTTGTGTCTACTCATAATTGGTTTGTCACTAGGGCACGTAAGACGGGGTCTTGTTTATCACCACTTCTTCCTTCCCTCTAAATCTGTTTCACCACCAAAACTGTTGGTTTAACTTTCTACATATCTATTGAATTCAAATATTTTTATGCCTGAGTCTCTACTGTCTAGGCCATGATCATCTCTTGTTTTAATTTCTGCAACAACCTCTAACTGGCTCTCTTGCCCCTTTCCAAAGCTTTATCCAAGAAGCTGCCAGAATGATCTAATTTCCCAGTACCTTATTATGAAAAATTTCAAACAAGGAAAGTTGAGAGAATTTTGCAGTGAACTCCCATATCCCCACCACTTAGATTTTATTATTACCATTTTACTGTATTTTTTTGGTCCGACTTCTAGCCAACCATCCAGCCCTCTTAGTCATCCATCAATCTTTTTATTTTTCATGCATTTCAAAGGAAATCACAGACATCAGCATACTTCCTCCTAAATAGTTCAAGCATGCATCTCATTAACCAGAGTTCAACATTTGCAGGCTTTTTTCTTGCAGAATGATTTTTTTAAAGATAAAGATGGTTATGATACTCCCATGTTTAAGACCCTTCTAGATTTAGATAAGTCCCAGATCCTTAACATGGCACATGGACCCTGTTTCATCTGGTTCCTATTTCCTTTTCCATCCCAGTTGGCTGTCCTTTCTGTCATCTACACTGCAGGCATTCCTGACCCCTGAGGGTCTGTAATTGCCCTGGTGCCTAGCGATTCTCTCAGAACTCCCCCTCCGTGGCTGGTAACACCTACTTATCCCTCACCTTCCAAAGTGCTGGCTTCTCCTCAGGGGAGCTTGCATGGTCCTCCAAGGATTGGTGAGATGTCCCCTTGGGGTCTTATGCCTGCTGCTGTCCTGCACTTTCCACCCTCCTTGTGAATGTCTGCTTACAGGCTCCCGCTGCCTCTGGCTGGGAGCAGTTTGGGGCAGGCAGAGGACCCGGCCCAGAGGGTCTGGTCGGTAGATGTTCGTAGAGTAAATGAGGAGAAATATCTGAGTACAATAAACTGCTTTTCTTACAAACATTGTTTAATTCAGACAGGTCCGTGGTTTAACCTGACATATCCCCTCCCTCTTGCTTCCCTTCCCTCTTACCCTTACTCTCCCTTAGCCTAGCCTCACCCATCTTTCTCCTCTAGTTTGAAGTGAACTCTCCTTCTCTCCTCTGTCCTCCATCCTTCTCATCCCCCTCTATCCTTTTCACCCCCCTCCATCCTTCTTACCCCCTCCATCCTTCTTCCCCCCATCCTTCTCACTCCCCTCCATCCTTCTCAACCCCCTCCATCCTTCTTACCCCCATCCTTCTTGCCCCCCCCATATTTCTCCCTCTCTTATCTCTCCTCCCTCCCGTCTTTCTCTCCTTCCTCTCCCTTCTCTCTCCTTTATTCCATCTTTACCCATCCTTCTCCCTCTAGTTTAAAGTAACCTCCCCATTTTCTCTTCCCTATCCCCTCTCCTTACCCTTCTCCTCTCTCCCCTCCCTGTCATCTCTATCCCTTCCCTCAGTCTTCCAATTTTCTCCCTCACTCTCAGACTTTTAGCCTGGCACATCTTTAGTTTCTGATGATTTCTGTGTCATTTCAGAGTGTTAATGCTGGAGCCTTTCACCACCACTTGAAGAGGGTCAATTTTAGGTCTAATCACAGCAGAGGAAATGCTTGTGAAGTCTATCAGGTGTTGATGAGCGTCCAGGTTAGGGGAGATAGACAATATCAAAGTCCTATGGCAAAGAGATTAGCTGAAAATCAGAGACGGGAGAAAGGTGTAACACAAAGAACACGTAGCTTTACTCCCCTGATTACTTTTCTCCTCAGGTTGCTACTTCTGTCATCACAAAGTTTCCCTGGTGCCAGTACCCCATTGTGACATTCAAACCGAGCTGCTGCTGGGTCTGCCAATGTTGATAATAAGTAACTGTGATTTGTATGTAATTTTACAATGTGCAGCTGAGCTCAATACATTTCTCTTTCAGTCCTCCCACCATCCCTCTCCTCAACTGTCCCTTGATCCAAAGTTCCACCCCAGCTACCAACCGGTCTCTCCCTCTTCCCAGTCTTGCTTCCTAAAAGACCTGTGTGTATTCATTGTGGCTCCTCTGTGTCACCTCACATTAATTCATCACCATTGCTATTCAGCTTCTGCTCACCATCCCATTGAACCTGCTCTTGCCAAATTCGCCTGCAACCTCCAAATTGTTGTATCCAATGGGAAAGATCAGTCCATATCCTACTAGACCTCTCAACGCCATTGACCAAGGTAATCCCTCCTTCTCTCCTCCCTCCTCCCTCCTCCATTCTTCTCACCCCCTTTCAGCCTTCTTGCCCTCCGCCCCCTTCAAGAGGTGTTCTTGAAACTTGCCTATATCTGAACTTCTTTCTTCTTGGTCTCCTTGGTAGGCTCCCTTTCCTCCATCTGCCATTTAAGTGTTTTCTTGAGCTGTCCTTGGGCCTTTATTCTTCTTACGATACATACTCCCTCTGTGCAACCTCACCCCCAGCGTGGCTTCAGTGATCACCTGTGTGTGGGTGGCTCCTAAATCTCTCTCTCCAGTCCTGACCTGTAGAATTCCACATATATGTGTGTGTGTATGTATGTGTGTATAAATATATATATATATATGTATCCAGTAGTTACATATATACATATATATATGTAAATCTCCATAATATTTTACTTAGATTTCCCATAGGACCTTACACTCAATATGACCCAACTATTCTTGGCTCTCCATTCAATCTGTTTTTCTGTTCTCATTAACGGGACCCTATACCTCCAGTCACCCAGACCATAGGCATGGAGTTGTCCTGGACTCCTCTTCCTCTCCTGCCTTATGCAAATTCTTTAACATATCATGCAGAGCTCTTTGTGTTCTGGCCATTGGGTTCTACAGAAACCCCTTTTCCTTCCATTCCCGTCCTCATCCTGCACACTTGCCATGCTGAACTTCTTGCTGCTCTCTGAATGTGCCACCACTCTGTACCTTTGCATCTGCTGGGAATGACCTTTCTCTGCTTCTTTGTTCAGCTACTCATCCTTTGGGGCCCCACTCAGACATCATCATCTCTAGAAAGCCTGCCTTTGCCCCTCCCTGGGTTAGGGCCCCATGGCTTTCTGTACTTCTTTTTAGTATTGTATTTATTACAAGGGAGTATAATCTGCGTATTTGTTTGCTTCCTCCTTTAGATTCTGAGTTCCCTGAGAGTGAGGACTGTATCTTATCCTTCTATTACTAGGCCCTAGCACAGTTTATGGTGCATAGAAGAGTCTCTCAATGTTTGAATGAATGGTTGGGTGCCAGGTCTGACAATACATGGGGCCCTGAACCTATTTGTAGGACCCTCTTTTTATGAGTCCACAGACAGTGCTCTTTCCTCCTAATCCAACTTTCAGCACCCATCCCTTGAATGTCTGATCTTGCCAACCTAGTGTGTTTAAAATTGGAATTGTTTGAACAGGCACAGACCTATCAGTAACTCCTCTCAGACGATCTGGAAGTGCTACTACATGTTCTTTAAGACTGGGGCAGTTTTACGTGGCTATGATAAACATGGTCCAGTGGCCCCGTGCAGGCGTGCCTGCTCAGAGCATTACTGTCAGCACCACTGTGTCCTCCCTCCGTCTCCCCAAATCCACCGTCTACGAGATGTGAGCCAATGCTGGTGCCAGGCTTAGGATTGTAGCCATAATCCTCTCCTTCTTGGTGAGAGAAAAAGACAGGATCCCAAATTCCAGCTAAACTGAACTGTCTTTAATACTTTTAACTCTCTGTGATCTCTCTTGTTCCAGCCTTTGCTCATGCTGTTCCCTTTCACCTGAGGCCTCTCCTCAGCACTCTTACTACTTTCCCTTAGCTGACTCTATTTTTCAGATCTCAGTGTGGGGCTGTCTGCACTCAAGGAGGCTCAGAGCTAGGTTAGCTGTCCCTCCTGGTGCTCTCAT